CCCCCTCCGCTAAGAACGGAGCTAAACTGAGTGGACGGTCCAGGTGGATCAGTTGAGGGCGGGATGGTTGACATCTAATTTGAAGACGTCTGTTTAGATCTAAAAGCGCGCTACAGCAAGTCCACTTTCTCTTCGACGCTTTCAACGACAGAAATCGAAACCTCGTACAGCGCAGACATGGTCGCGCAAGACGTCATCTCCGTCGCTCGACGTTTTCGACAACAAAAGTACATTCGCCTCGCACTACTTCTCTTTGCACTGACGTGTCGACGACCAAGGAAGCCGAGAGTGTCACGGCAGCGTGTTGATGTGGACTATGAAGTCGAGATGTTATTAAATGAAAACATGTTTGAACGGACATTTCGCATGCCTGCGGAAAATTTTAGTCATTTACTGAGGAAAGTTACACCAGCCTTCACTATATTAGAGCGGCACTCAACTAATTCGAGTGGCGAAGCACCTATTTCGCCTTCGATGATGCTAATGACGACGTCGTGATACCTGGCAGGGGGATCATACCTTGATATACGTCGTATGGTTGGCATCAGTGAGCCCTCGTACTATCGTGTGATCGATCTGACAATGGATGCGATTCTTGCTCTTGAGGAGCTTCAGATAACTTTCCCCAATTCGGACTCGGAGAAAGAGGTTGTGATGGAGGCGTTTAAGAACATCAGCAGCGGTGGTGTAATGAGTGGATGCATTGGCTACGTTGATGGTTGGCTTTGTTGTATAAAAACACCAATCCTTGCTGATGCTGGCGAAGTCGGTGTGGGTCGCTACTAAAGTGGCCATTACTCTTGCCCTGGCATTAAAGTACAAGCCGTTTGTGATGCTCAGTGTAGGTTTATTGCAGTCGATACTAGTTTTCCAGGTAGCACCAATGATGCCGTGCATTTCGTGACACTGGTGTCTCCAGGGCACTGAATATGCTTCCTACTGGGATGTACATCATTCGAGACAATTCTTACTCTGTAGGTGAGCATTTACCCACGCCGTTTTCTCGCAAGCTAATGCCGTGCTAGCACGGTGAAGCCCTGGATTTTACATATAAGTGCATGACATGTACCAGAAACTTTAGATTATTATTTTTAATTTTTATCTATATCATTTTATTGTAGTACATGGAGGACCAACTCCGTATTACGCCAGCACCACAGCTAATGAATATCTAGGTGCTAGGATTTCCTGTAGGATGATTGCATGGCCAGAATTCACAGTCGTAACGAGGACCAACTCCGTATTGTGCCAGCACCACAGTTTAAGAAAATATCTAGGTGATTGACCAGAATTCACGGTAGCAAAAGCGAAGCGACCGCAGATCCGGAAGAGATTGAGACGCCCATTGCTCTACCACCAACGAAAAAGATGCGCTAAATGTAGGGGCATCGGACTACCATACGATTGTGTTGTAAATTTCGTTTTTTTTTAGGATCTACGCTGTTTTTAATTTTTTCCTTCTGGAGATGGTAACCATCGGTAGTGCCTCGTTGACTAGATTTGAATTTAGGTTTTTAGATCCACATAAACAAGCTCACTTTGCATATACGTAACGGTTTAAGCACATATACTTTGTGCACCAGCTAAATGTCGATCGATGTGATCGAGTCATTGCGAACGGAA